ATAGGCCTTTTCAAAATCAATTTTCAGAAGCATAGCACTTTGTTTTTTCTTTTTTATGCTATTCAAAGCCTCATGAAGGATCAAAACCCTCTCCATAATATACCTGCCCTTAATAAAAACAGTTTGAACAGGAGAAATAACATCATCAACTACCAAATTCAGCCTATTCATTAACACTTTTATGATGATTTTGAAGCAGACATTTAGCAAACAAATTGTCCTGAATTTCTGTATTTGATTAGCATCTGTCCCTTTTGGAACTAGGGTTATAATCCCATAGTTTAGTCTACTAATATCAATTTTCCTATTGGCAAAGTTATCCAACAAAGCTTTTAAATCAAGTTTCACCAGATCCCAATAATGCGAGTAAATTGCACAAAACCACCACTTTGAAGGCTAGGTTTGCGAAAAACACTATAATACATTTTTTTTGTAAAAAACACCATGTCTATGGTAATCTTTTTGCAAAAAACACTGATCGGCGGATCTTGCTCAGTTAAGTGAGTTTATGACAAATGGGGCCCGCCAGTCAGGCTGACGTGGCACCAATTTCTCACACCGTTACATGAAAACGTTTGCTGGACATGGGGCCTGCTTGTCAGCCTAACAAGCCTCTCCTGGGCATTCCATCGAACAATTTGTGTGCAACGACTATGGCAGGCTCTGCCTCGTCTGGGGGCAGGACGGGCGACCTCGGTCGGGGTTGGGACGGGCCGCGGCAGTGAGCAGCAGGCAGCGGGCGCGGCGGGTGCGGCGAACAGCGAGCAGGCAGCGAGCGCGGCTTCAACGGCAGTGAGCAGCAGGCAGCAGGTGCGGCGAACAGCGAGCACGCAGCAGGTGCGGCGGCGGCGAGTAGCGGCCGCGGAGGCAGCAGCGAGCAGCGGGCGCGGCAGCAGCGAGGCACGGCGGCCGCGACGAGCAGCAAGGCGCGGCGGCTGCGGCGAGCAGCGTGCGCGGCAGGAGCGAGCGCGACGGGAGGTTGACGAATCAGTTTTTTTTCTTTTTGTTTCAATGACAGGTGGACCCCACAGGGCCACACATAATGATAACTTTAGCCAATGTCGCCGTTACTTAGGCTGTGCCATGTTGGCCTGACTGACGGGCCTCATTTGTCATAAACTCACTTAACTGAGCAAGATCCGCCGATCAGTGTTTTTTGCAAAAAGATTACCGTAGACATGGTGTTTTTTTGCAAAAAAATGTATTATAGTGTTTTTCGCAAATCTAGTCTTCAAAGTGGTGGTTTTGTGCAATTTACTCCAATAATGCTGATAAAATTCAGCAGTGAAGCCATCTGGTCCAGGGGATTTATTGTGTGCCATTTTAAAGACAACCTTCTTAATTTCCTCCAAAGAGAATTCCTCCATTAATTTTTTTTCACATCCCTCTTGAATCCTAATGGGATTATGAATATTAAGTGAAACAGAAGAATTATCTGGTGGACCAAATAATTTTTTGTAAAAAGTAGTGATATGGTCTATTAAGTTTTTATCCCCTCAGCTTGCTCTAATCTGTTGGTATATTTTTTTTTGACGGGATATGATACAGTATAAGTGCTTACGTTCTTTTCTATGGAAATGTTCTTACGTGATTTATTTGCAGTTTCTTAAATTTAGTCAGTGGGCTGGGCCGTGAGGGAGAACGTGCGGAAGTGGGTCTGGTTCGCGAGGCAGCCGAGTCGTCGTGTCGGTCGTCGCGTGGGGTTGTCGTGAAAGCACTCCTCACCAGTCACCACTCACTCCTCGCTCCCACTGACCGGCTCATCTCCCCTACCTAGTTCCTTCCAGCGTCGCCTCCCCTTCTCCTTGCCAGCACACACAATCCAGACCCGCGTCCTTCCCCGACCGCCTCATCCGCTTCCGGCTCGCCGCCGCCCGTTCCCCGATCCCCGTCCGCCTCCTCTCCTTCATCCGCGGAGCCTTCCCGACATCCCCATCTACGTGCCCACATCAGGTGGTTCATTCAGATGAGTAGATTCAGTGCCACTTACGCTGTACTTAGTGCTTATAAGAAATTTTAGCACTTTATTAATTCACCCATCTGCCAAATGCCCAAATGTGTTGTTGTATTGTTGTGAATCCATCTGAAAACCCTTGCAAAAAAAAAATCCATCTGAAAATCCATTGAGTTGTACTGTTGTGAACCCATCTAAATCCAGTATATTTTTCTGAACCCTATGTATTGTTTTACTACACTCTCCGTCTCAAAATAAGTATCTCAAATTTAGTGACACTTATTTTGGGGATGGAGCGTGTATTCAACAACAACAAAAATGTATTGTCATGGACCTATCCGCAGACTTAGGCTGTGTTTGGCAGCCCTCCACGGCTCCACTGCTCGGTCACGGAGCGGAGCGGAGCAGAGCATCGCTTTAGCTGCTCCATAAGTTACAACTAGTTGCCGCTCCGCTCCGGAACGGAGTCCGAACAGGCTCTTAGGCCCTGTTCGGTTATCCACCGGCTCCCCAAAATTTCAGGGATCTGCGGAGCACCTAGTTTGCTGCTCCGCTAATTTAGCCTGGAGTGGAGAGACTCCAGGCTAACTCAGCAACTCCGTCGGCTCCGCGAGTGGAGTCTGGAGTGGAGAGACTCCGAACACTCCCTTAGTTCACAGACGTTGTTGTATTATCTGAAAAATATATGTCTTCATCGAAAAAACCCACAGTAACTCTTGCTTCACAGATGGCTGGCGAAATTGTGACCATCGGCAAGCTCAAAGCACTCATGGGTGACGAGTACGGCAAGTTCACAGGGGTCAGGAAGCAGGCTTCGTTCCTTGAGAAGGAACTCAGCGCCATGAACGCTGCCCTCCAGAAGCTCGAGCTCATGGATGATGAGCTCGATCCAACTGTCAAGGACTGGGTGGATCATGTTAGGGATATGTCCTATGACATGGAGAATTGTATTGACGACTTCGTGCACCAATTTCGAGCTGATGATGCCAAGGCAGGCTTCATAGAGAAGATTACTCAATTCATCAAGAAGTTTCGACAACGCCTTCGGATAGCCGACCGGATGGAAGAGCTCAAGACTCTTGCCTTGGAGGCGAATGATCGACGTGAGAGATATAAGATTGATGATTGGAAGCCTGCCTCTGGCCATGTGCCTGTTGACCCTCGGCTGCGAGCGGTATATCAGGAGGCAGATACTCTCGTGGGCATTGATGGCCCAAGGGAGGAGGTTGTCACTCGGTTGATGGATACTCGGAAGAAACTCAAGGTGGTATCCATTGTAGGATTAGGTGGTCTTGGTAAAACTACACTTGCCAAACAGGTCTATGACAAGATTGACTCGCAATTTGATTGCAAGGCATTCTTTTCAGTTTCACAGAGGCCTGATATGAGTGAGCTACTCAACAATTTACAATATAAACTTGGGATGAACGACCCCGTTTCATCTCACGCTCGCAAGGTTGACGACATCATTAAAGAGCTAAGGGAACATCTGAAAGAGAAAAGGTATTACTCACTATCAGCAGTCACTTGCATGGGCTACACTTGTTAAATTTGAGCTAAGTAATTGGTTAATATACATTTTGTACTGATATTTATCCATCCAAGCTGACTGTTTGGTGCTTTGTGTTTATGATAGACATTTAAAGTCGGAAATAAAAGATGTAAAACATACATCTTTTGAAAAAAGTGATTAAATTATTGGTATGTTTTCCATCCAGTGCCATAATTGCTAGGGTAATAGAAACATGTTAAACCCATGTGCCTTCAGTAAGAAGAGTGTTTCTAAAAGACGGGCTATTGAATGTCTATGTGACATATGTGCTAAACTGGTAGGGCGTTTTGACAAAGTTTTTACATTTAGGATAAACATACCCCTCCATACCATTTCTTTTTGGTGAAAATAGTTAATCTAAAGATTGAATTATGATGTCCAGTTCACATATCTGGTACTGATTTTTCATCCATGCATGCAAGATTTGTGAATGTTTTTATTTTTTAGGCCTTTGTGATAGACATGGATAATTATAAGCTTTGGTATTACTTTTTCATTCATTATGATAATTCATAGCTTCTCAGAAAATTCCATATATCCTTTTTGCTTGAACCTACTTTGTCAAGATTTTGATGATTTCGTCTATGAATTAATCATATTATATTATAATGTAACTAACCTTTACAAACATTTGAACAGGTACCTTATTGTTGTTGACGATGTGTGGGATGAATCAGCTTGGAATATTATTAAGTGTGCTTTTCCAGAAGAGGGTAATGGAAGTAGAGTAATAGTTACAACACGAGTAGAAGGTGTAGCTATCGTAGCCTGTCAGAATGACCGTGAGGGCATGTACAGATTGAAACCTCTCAGTGAAGAAAACTCAAGAATGTTATTCTTGAATAGAGTATTTGGGTCTGCACATGGTTGTCCACCCCAACTTGAAGACATCATGGCTGAGATTTTGAAGAAGTGTCATGGATTGCCACTTGCAGTTATCACAATAGCTAGCCTATTAGCAAGTGAAGAAAGATCAAGGAAGGGGTGGGAGAGCATAAGGGATTCTTTGGGTGCCCAGTCTGCTACAAATCCTACCTTGGAAGAGATGAAGAGTATATTAAACCTTAGCTACATGCATCTTCCTGCTTATCTGCGGGCATGTTTTTTGTACCTTGGTATGTATGCTGAGGATTGCGAAATCCCAAGGGATGATCTGGTTCGACAATGGATAGCTGAAGGCTTTATCAGTAGTTTGCATGTGCAAGATCTGGAGGATGTTGGTAGGAGTTATTTCAATGAGCTTATCAACAGAAGCATGATTCAGCCTTATGAAAATGAGGAGGAGGAGGTGTGTTGCAGAGTACACGACATGATGCTTGACTTGATCCTAAGCAAGTGCGCTGAAGATAACTTTGTAAGTGTGGCATACAATTATGAAGGCATGGCAGCAAATACAAGATTCGTCGATTATCTCTGACATCCTTTGTTGGTGATGGAGCAACTATTTCTGTTAGCCTATCACAAGTTCGATCATTTGCACTGTCGGGAAACTCCATGCCTCCTCTTTTGTTGTTCAAGTACCTCCGGGTGTTCAGAATTGATCAGGACAGTTCTAGTGGAGTCATGGGGACCCTTGACCTCACCGCTATTTGCCAATTGTTTCAGCTGAGGTACTTGTATGTTTCAGTATCACGTCTTGTACAGCTCCCAGCTGAACTTAAAGGGCTTATTTACTTGGAGACGCTGGCCATACCTTTTGCAGATCTCAAGAGCATCCCCTCAGATATAGTTCATTTGTCTCGCTTGTCCTATCTTAGTTTTGGTATGGAAGAAGGGCTGCCTGAATGGATTGGGGATATGAAATCACTACGCAGTCTGATAATATATCGTATGGTGACCAATCCGAGCATGAAGGCCATTATGGGTCTTGGCGAGCTTACCGATCTTAGGGAACTGGTAATCTATGTGGGGTCTTTTGAGAAGCCAAAACTTGATGCTTTGGCCTACTCCATTGGACAGCTTTGTAACCTCAAATATCTTCGATTCTATGGGTCTCATTCTAAAGTCGATAACCAGCTGGGCTCATTATCCAATCCTTTTCAACATATCGAGGAATGTCGCGGGTCTGTATTGAATTTCCATAGAGTTCCCAAATGGATGGGTGGTCTCCATTGCCTTCGTATCCTCGATCTGCGTGTGGAGGAGACGTCAACTGAGGAGGTTCATCTTCTTGGGGAGCTTCCCTCCCTCGTCAAACTTGAATTTAGTTTGTCGCATCTCCCTAAAGAAAGGGTTATATTGGGAAGAGGACTATTCCTGGTTCTGGAGCACTTCACATTTCACTCAAAGGAAGACATTATGGCATACCTGGGATTTCAGGCAGGGGCCATGCCCAACTTACGAACCCTCGCTCTCAATAGCGCGGAGTGGGGTGGCAGTATACCAGTCGGCATGGAGCACCTGTTATGCCTCCAGAAGATCAAACTGTATCAGAATTACTCTCGTGATGCAACCATGGTTTCTGCGTTCCGGGATGCCTTATCAGTGCACCCAAACCGCCCTTCTGTTGAATAGTCATATTAGATGGTTTATTATGTCAAGAGTTTTGTGGAAGGCTCATTTTACCTGTATCCTGGATCAGGTGATGGCATAGTTATGTTACAATTATCTTTCTTCACATTTTTTTTAGCTGTTGGATGATCAACTTGCAATTTATGTTTGGAGTACGAAAATTTGTGATGTACGTATAATTACCATTTGCTTTTGTCTCAGTAAACTCTTGTTGCTAGTCATGGATCTGAATAAGAATCGAGAAAACACACATGTAAAATGCAGCAATCATTAGTCTCATGTTGGTTTGGTCATGGTCATAGTTGCTGCCGTCAATGATACTCACTTCCTGCCATATTTGATGAATGAATGAAAGGTGGTGTCTTATATGATTTGTGCTGACATTATCTGCTGAGAACTTGAGATACAATGTTAAACTTACGATTTAATGTACTTTTGACATGAATCTTTGCCCACTTGCTTGACAAGTTCAGAGGCCCTTGTTGCCATAAATGATATGGTACCGATATGCATCTGTTTTAGCGCATCAAAAGATTATAACGGTTCAGTTGACATAGATTATATCCTGACTGAAGTTTAACTTGCTGACACACATTATATTATGAGAATAATTACCACTCGATAAAATGTATTTCTTCATTTTCCTTGCTGCTTAGTAGTTACTAGTTGGTACTGTAGTGAGAGTCTACCATATTACTTACAGTTTAGTTCGTGTATATTTTTCTGTTGGCTTCAGAGTTCTTGCTTCTGATCCAAACACAAAGAGGTGAGCTTATCATCACACGCTGTGCTCTGAAAACGAGTCCTCTCCATTTGATGTTATTCATTTGGGGGCTACACTAGAAAGCCCACTCTGTTTTAGAAAACATTATGCTACCAATATACATCTGTTTTGGCACACAAAAGATTACAACAATTCAATCGTTAAAGATTACACCGTGATTGAAGTTTAACTTGTTGCTACAGATTACCTAATGAGAATAATTGGCACCCAATAAATTTAACCGTATCTGGTTTCCTTACTGCTTAGAGTTACTTGTTCTGATCCATTTGTCTCTTTTTATCATGTGACAGAGAAGCAGGAAGACTCCGATGAACCTTGGACTCTGGCTGAGCTTGGTCGGACGGTGCTTGATGCAACTCAGCCTGCAATCAGTTGGATAGACTATGGGTGCTTTGGTCTACGGCGCTGGCCAGTGGACGGTCGTTGATGTTGGTTGTAATGCTTTGGCACAGTCCTGCCATGTTCACATTGCTGCTTCATGACTCAGTTGGCTACCAAGTTCTGTCTATACTTTATGGTTTCCTTGAGACCTGATATCAATGTATTGTCTACACGTACACTACATTCTAATCTATATTGACTTATTCAGTCCGCCCCATGATCTCCGTGCGGATTGATTGTTCAAACCTGGGAATTGTTCAAATATATTGTTTTGGTCTTGTGTCTGTTCTCTCTTCTTCATATCTGAGCGACTCTCATGTGCCTCTCCCTTTCTCATTTTTTTTATTGCTGGGAAACCCCTTTAATTTGGTTTTCTTAGTATAGGTGAAGTTTGTGCAACACCGTGATAGTTTTGCTGACAACTGCAGTCTGCAGGTAGTATACCTCGGAAGAGGAGGGGCTAAGCGCCGGCGATTCAGAAGAGCGGCTTCTGCGCCCCCACCTCGTCCCGCTCCATCTGCTGGTCCAACGACATGCGACGTAGGTGCAGAGAACTCAAGCGACCAATCAGTGCTACCAAATTGTTATGCTGTACGATCTTCTGTCTTGCTTAGGCTTGGAATTCCATTTCAACTTCTAGTGCCGCACTTGAAGTTGAAATGGCCATCCCTGCATCACATCAGGTCGTAACTTGCACAACTTTACACCTGCAGCTAAGCTTTGGATGACAGGAACCATCACAAATGTGGTTCCAACATGAAAACAAGTTGCTAGACTTCGACCTCACAATACTGGGAATAGTCTTAAACAACTTACTAGAGTTGAACAAGTTGCTCCTCATAGTCCAGTCTCACATATACTGAAAACAAGTTTTAGTAGAACAAGATAAGCTACAAGAGTACAGCCTCAGAAATAGTGGAAACAAGTTGCTGGTCTCATACTTCAGTTTCACGAAAGTAGGCTGTTATGAACTGACAACCATTGCAAGCCACAAAACTGGTGTCCTTTGCCCTTGCAGGAATTTTAGTGCAGAAATTTCATACATATTTCTGGCGTAGAGAAGCTCAGTAACAGCTGGCAAAGCTCTTTCCCCTTGCTTTGAGTGACCGAGTCATTGAAATGTACTGTCATCCTCTTTAACATTGTTGTCCACTTGAATAACCTTCTCACCAGAGCGAGTTCATGTTCAGTTCCTATAAAGCCATCGATCTCTATTTCTTCAAGGCAACGGAGCACGAGTTCCTTGGTTTCCCAGTTTGATGGCTCAACACACCTGCAACCTGATCGGCACGCAATTTGTCCCTGGAACAATTGGCATATAAGTTCTAATAAGTAATAAGATTTAACTTTTTACAGTTTGAGATAAGACAGAGATGAAACTAGAAATAATTACACTGCATGAATAGAACACTCTTAGATATGTCAACAACAAAATTAACAAAGTACTACTAGAAAATAAACTAATTTTGGAGCAAGCATTCTACAGAAAGTATAATTGCGCTATGCATATAGGAAATCGTACTTCGAACATTATTATAGCCATCACAAAAATTCTCATATAAAATAGTAAGATTCTTGCATTTGCTGAACAAGATCAAAGGAGGGTCCCCGTTTCTTTGCTAAAAATATGACCCATCAGTTTGTTTTGACATTTCAGACAGACTTGTAAGTGCTACTCTTTTGAAATAAAAGCGATCACAAAGTCAATAACCCAGGTTGCATTCACATCAGTATGAGTATGTAACCTTAACTAAGAACAAGAGTAGGGCAACTCGCAGCTAAGCCATGGAAGTCGCCTCAAGCTAAGTATATTGTTACCTCCAGTCCCCTCGGCATGTCAAGAAGTTTAAGCTTCAGCTCTCTTATACCACTAGACATCCTTAGAAGATGGAACGAGCTGGCTCCAAAGGAATGTCCACATGCTAGTACTTCCAGCTTCAAGATGGTAATGTTAGGAAACTTTGTCATCTCTTTCATCAAGAATTGGCCGTAACCTATGACCTGTAGTAGGTTCACAGGAAGTCATATAAACAATTGGATAAGGACACAAGCATCTTATTTTCTACTCAGTGACAAACACATATACTCCAACTAAACAAGTTCACTTTTGTAGGCATTTTAAATTTCCAAATGACAAATTCTCGAAGTTTAACTCTCAAGTTTGGTTATAATCCCTATTGACTTGCTAGCATGTTACAGTAATGTAAAAATGACATACCGGCATATAGTAAAGCCCGAGATTAAGAATGCTGACGTGGTCAAAATGATTCAGAAGCATCGACCAATCACGATGGTCTTGAGAAAATACATTATGTCCATGCACCACTAGTGGATGGGGGCTCAGCTGTTGGAGATGTGTCATGTCGCCAAACCGGATGACACTAGGATCGTAAGCGCTGCTCCAATCGAGTGTCACCAACCGAGGGGCTGAGATGGTTGCTAAAGTTGATTTTGGGTGGATCTCGAGTGGAAGCAAGGTCACACACACAGAGAGAGAGAGAGAGGAGAAGATTTTTCTGGAAAACTTGTTCTCGTTAGTTCCCCAGGTACACTATGTATACACAACCACTTTTACATTTTCACCCCCTCTAGTCCTACCTTTACAAATAAGTACTACCAACACTCCCCCTCAAGATGGGGCGAAGATGTCAATAAGCCCCATCTTGTTACATGTTTTTACAAAAGATAAAACACTAACACCTTTAGTTAATACATCAGCTAGTTGGTCACCAGATTTTACAAAACTAATTTGAAGTGTTCCTTCATCTAGCTTCTCCTTAATGAAGTGTCGATCAATTCCAATATGCTTAGTCCTATCATGCTGGACTGGATTGTTAACTATCTTTATGGTGGCCTGATTGTCACAATACAGTTGAAGTGGTCCCTTTTTATACAGCTGGAGTTCTGTTAGTAGTATTCTCAACCACATCAGCTCACATAAACCTGAAGCCATAGATCGCAGTTCAGCTTCTGCAGTAGACCTGGCCACTACACTCTGTTTCTTACTTCTCCAACTAATCAAATTGCCCCCAAGAAACATGCAGTAGCCCGACGTAGATCTTCTATCGTCTAAACATCCAGCCAAGTCAGCATCAGTATACCCCTCTAATGTTAGATGCCCACAATTTGAAAACAAAATTCCCTTCCCAGGACATCCTTTGAGATACCGCAAAATTCGATTCACGGCATTGAGGTGATCGGACTGTGGATCATGCATATATCTACTAACAATGCTCACAACATATGCTATATCAGGTCTAGTATGAGAGAGATAGATCAATCTTCCCACTAACCTTTGATATTGGCCTCTATCAACTGGATCACCAACACATGAGGTAATTCTATGATTTTGCTCAATTGGTGTTGTAGTAGGTTTGCATTCCAGCATCCCAGTTTCAGCAAGTAAATCTAGCACGTATTTTCGTTGTGAGAGGAAGATACCTTGTGCTCCATAGGACACCTCAATTCCTAGGAAGTAGTGTAAATGTCCCAAATCCTTCACTTCGAATGTCCTTGACAACATTTTCTTCAAACGCCTTATCTCCTCCTCATCACTTCCTGTAATTATAATGTCATCAACATAGACCACAAGAATTGCAATTCGATCATGATTATGCTTAAAAAAGAGTGTGTGGTCAGCATTGCTTTGCCGATACCCCAAGCAGCAAATCTCCTTGCATAGTCTTTCAAACCAGGCCCTCGGCGACTGCTTTAGCCCATATAGTGATTTTCTCAGATTACAGACCTTACCCTCTGTTTCAGGACTATGAAAACCCGGTGGAATTTCCATATACACCTCTTCTTGCAAATCCCCATGAAGAAATGCATTTTTAACATC